AAAGCACAGCTAGTCAGAGGAACACAACACCCCTGTATTCAAGAAAAAAAGAACCAGACAATATTCTCCCCCACAAGGGAGAGGATTTAAAGAGAGAGGGCATGGATTTCTGCTTCTGCCGAGCAGAGCAGATCAGGATGCCTCTCTGATGCACAATGGGCTAGTGATTAGAAGTAGATAAGTGCAGGAGATTGCAGCTCACATACTCCAGAACGTGCTCATTCCTGCTGGGCAGATGCAGAAGGTCAACAGGTGCAGAGACTTGCTCTTTAAAAGACAACTCACCAAAATGGGTTGTGCAATGTGTGAGCAGCGTGGGTTGCTTCCGTATACGGTCATGACCCAACAGGGTGGAAAAACTTGTTTTGTAGGAGGAGAGGGGTTTTCCTATGCACCGTCAAATGAGATTTGTCCAGCTACAGTTCCATCGGACTAATAGTGGTGTAGCCAAGACCAGGATCTGACCAACTATCACACTCTTTAGTCTACAACAATACAAAAATAAGCCCAGGACATGCAGTATCCATTCCAAGTTCACAGAAGCAATTCCAAACTGGTGTTCTGGAAACATAAACCTTTGAAACAGAGGAAGTACACAATTTCTCAAACCAGACTGAAACTTAAGACAGCAATTCTCCCAGAGCAGCTCCATAAAATGTAGTTTCTGAACGGTGGATTGGAAAACATTGCTGACAGATGCTGTAAGAGGAGCCCAAGGATGAAAGGTTGAGCAGCTCCACTTTCTTTAACTTAAAACAAAACAAAACAAAGTAAACAAATACTACATTAGCCATCCCAAACCTTGTCGTTTCGCTACTATATACTCCAGCTGTTGTTTGCACTGAGGTGCCACCTAGGAGCTTCAATTATGGCTCAGCACCTCGCTGTACCAGGTGGAATAAAAACTGGGTGCATCTATACATGCGCTTTACTGAGGAACTGACTAATTAGCTCCATAGTAACACGTCACCATCTACATGTGCATCTGTATTAGAGTGCAGGAAATTAAATAACTCCACTGTAGGATAGTCCTGTCCAAGACATACACTATCCTCAGCAGCATAGTTACATGCACCGAAACACGAACCAGGGCTGGCTGGGCCATGAGCGTGCCACAGTGCAGGGGCTGCCTGCCAGCTAACCTCACGCCGCAGCACCCTTATGCCCCAGCCAGCCCCTCTGCAGCATGTTGAGCTGGGTCGGAGCAGCCCTGGGCTGGCAAGCTGACCCCTGGGCTGGCAGGCTGACCCCATGGGCTCCCGGCCAGCCGGGACTGCTCAGCCCCCACTCAATGTGCTGTGGTCCCAGACACACATGTAATGCTGTTCCTGGGAGCAATAAACTCCAGTGTGAACTATGCCAGAGTTTACTGCTGCATGCTAATTGCATGCATAGATGCACCCACCAAGGACAAACAGTTTTTGCCCCCAAGATCTTACAATCTAGATGAAAACCTAAACTGCAGAATTTCATAGAACTCCTCAAGTCCATCATCCTGGTAAGTGATGTTTTCTGGAAAGTCAAGACAGGGGCAGGTACTTGCTTCTATCTCAGCAGGTAGAAGATAATGGAGCTCCATTGAGAAAAGTATTGCTCATAGTATTCCTATCCTGGTGGCAAATTAACATTATTGTTCTCTTTTTTTCAGGGAAGCAGATCTGAAGTCCATTTAAGTGAATGGGCTTAGATCTAGGCCCAAACAGGTACTACAAAGGGAACGAGGAGGTGTACCCCTTGCATACAACTGCTACTACTTCATTTCATGTTCTATACATGAGCTCCATTTGATTAAAATCTCTTTTCACCTGCATAATTAAAAGGAATGACAAGGATTTTCTCTAGTCAAGGGGTAGCCAGTAGGCCAAATCCAACCCACCAAGCCATTTCAAACAGAGTGCCCCAGGGGTCAGTCCTGGGACCGGTTTTGTTCCATGTCTTGGAAGATGGCATAGAGTGCACCCTGGGCATGTTTGCAGATGACACCAAGCTGGGGGTGTAGTAGATATGCTGGAAAGTAAAGCTAGGATGCAGAGTGACCTAGACAGATTGGAGGGTTGGTCCAAAAGAAACCTCATGAGGTTCAACAAGGACAACTGAAAAGTCCTGTACTTAGGAAGAATAATCCCATGTGCCAGTACAAGCTAGGGGCTGACTGGCTGGGCAGCAGCTCTGCTGAAAAGGACCTGGGGGTGACTGGGCAATAAGCTGAATATAAGCCAGCAGTGTGCCCTTGTTGCCAAGAAGGCTAACGGCATCCTGGGCTGCACTGATAAGTGTGTTGCCAGCAGATCAAAGGAAGTGATTATTCCCCTCTATTCAGCACTGGTGAGGCCACATCTGGAGTCCTGTGTTCAGCTTTGGGCACCACTACAGAAAGGATGTGGACAAATTGGAGAGAGTCCAGCAGAGGGGAACAAAAATGGTGAGGAGGCTCGGGCACATTACTTATGAGGAAAGACTAAGGGAACTGGGCTTATTTAGTCTGGAGAAGAGAAGACTCAGAGTGGATTTAATAGCAACCTTCAACTGCCTGAAGGGGGGTCTGGAAAAGGATGGAGCTGAACTGTCCTCAGTGGTGGCAGATGACAGAACAAGGAGCAATGGGCTCAAGTTGCAGCCAGGGAAGTTTAGGTTAGGTATTAGGAAGAACTTTCTCACTAGGAGGGTAGTAAAACACTGGAACAGGTTACCCAGAGAGGTAGCGGCATCTCCATCACTGGAAGTTTTTAAGACCCAGCTAGACAAAGCTCTGGCTGGAATGATCTAGCTGGTAGTAGTCTTGCCTTGAGCAGGGGGTTGGAATAAATGATCTCCTGAGGTCCCTTCCAACTCTAATGATCTATGATTCTATTATTTCATCTAGACCACGAAGCATGAACATGGACAGCAATTCAACCTCAGGGGGTTTCTACAGCACCTGGGCAGCAGCTAGGTCAGAAGTGATGACCCACCTTGCACTTAGCTGCATTATTTCAACCCACCACTCCTAAAAGCTTACCAACCATTGGTTTAGTCTAATATATTGAACAACAGGCTAGCAAGAATCGTTAACATAGTCTCCAACTTAGGTCCTATACTTTGAATTTAGAAAATTCAGACATATGCTCACACCCCCACACTGAATGGGCTAGCAAATACATGTTCTTCTATTTTACATAGTTGCCCTGATTATTATTATTATTTGGCTTTGTCAGCAGCTCTCCCCTTTAACTTTGAAGAGTAATTTTTAAGCAGTTAAGGGGGGGAATCTTTCATGGCCAGGCTGTCTGGTTTGGTGGATGAACAGATAAGGGATCGGGAGGTGGGAAAGGGGCCTCCTGAAAGCAGATCAGCACTATACAAAAATCCACCAGTGCAGCAAACTGTGGGAAAAAATGCTGTTGGCAAAGTGCACATGGCACGCAAGCCTGCTAGGCTGAGTCTGCTGAACTTCAGAGGAAAACAGGAGCACAGATGTTAGTACTAACGTAAGGGTCTCCCCTAGCCTGAAAAAAATAATAGTAGATGTCCAAGAAAGTCCCGCCTATCATTACAAGCCTTTCCAGTTCTATTTAAAGACAGCAAAGGAGCCAACAGGAGAGGCTGTGTTTTGCAGCTCTGCATAAACACCCGCAGATAAGGGTGGTACCAGGTGTCAGCTAGCCCTGCAAAGTCACTGAAATGTCAAGGATTGTTTTTCCTCTACTCCCTTTCTCTTTCCTCTGACTGGGAACTGCCAATGTTTATTTAAAAGATATCCCTCCTATCTGGCAAGAATGCCAGCAGGGCAGACGTTAATGGATTATTATTTGGAGCTGGAAGCCTGCCAGGGTGATAAGGATAGCCTGCCTACCCAAAGGCCCAAAGCCTTGCCATTAGCAGGGGAGTCAGGGATGGAACTGTCGTGCCAGACGGTTGCTATAGTTAGACCAGCAGGGACTTTAAAACTGAGCTCCCTCCAATCTATATTTGAGCTGACCTATAAAATAAAAAGATACCGCAGAGGGTTAGAAAATAAAACGACAGGGTTGGGAAACCAAGTGACGGTTCTTCCCAGGCCTGACTTTTCAATGGCCCGTAATGGAAAGCTAATTCATTCTCAGACCAAAACCTGATGTTCCACTCTTACAGCTGTGCAAAAGCCTAATCCAAAGGCAAGGAGCATCTTTACACTAACTGTAACAGCCTGGGATTGGGCCCCATGTTAGAAACTCTTTAACTGAAGTGTTAAAAAGGCAAGGAGAATCTGCTTCTCCCCAAGACCTAAGGAGGGACAGTTTCTTCCTGAAACCTTGTGTATCTCCCAACTGTAGAGTTGGTCCATTACAAACCATTCCCCACCAACCACCCCACCCAACAACCCTCACCTCTTATACATTTCCTGTACCATACAGCTACACCACCACTCTAACCCCGCTCCCAGTGTCAACCCGATGCAGACAAGAGGCAAATCAAGCCATGAAGCATTAAATATCTGTACCGTCAAATGTCACAGTGAAACAGCAGTGATAAAGACCATTGCAACAGCTTCCCACGGGTTGCATCCAGGAAGGGTGTTTCTTATGTTTGTTTAGGTAGACCTGGGGCTGAAACGGTTAACATCCACATCCCCTGAAAAGACAGGGCTGGAGGAATGCGAGGTCTTGTGTCTGAGATATATTTAGATTAGCATTGTTTACTATTAATCTTCTCCACTGCAAAAGCCCTTCTTTCCCAACAGACAAAAAGTCCTACCAGGGTTGCTCCACCCTTGTTATCATGCGTTCTTTGGGAGTCAACCTTTTCTATGGCCATCAGACGGCCTACACTGTAATTAAGGTGCTTATAATACAATTTAGCAGAAGTAAGAGCTGCAACACAGTAGCTTTTACTGCTGTGATTGAAAGCCTTAAAGGTTAGGTGGAATTTACCAAGTAGTAATTTTATCTGTTTAGAGCTGGCAAAAAAAGAAACTTTATGCTCATTTGAGAGGTTAGTCTGCCACTAATGAAACCAAAATAAATAAAGCTGCTTTTCCCTACCTCTCCTGAAGAGATGTAATGAAGTATTATCCTAGCCAGGCTGCTTGCAAAACCTTTGTTCCTAATAGGAGAGATTGTGGGGGGGCAGAGAAAAAAAAAAAGAATTTGCTAATATTTTTATATTTTCCCCTTACTTCAGTGTCCAAAACGGAGTCACAGGTGCATCTACCCTTAAGTTTGGGGAGTTCTGAGTTTCATCCAGAGTTTGAGTTGCTTGTACTGCTCTAATATAGGCCAAAGCAAAACCTGGTATCAGAGTACCCTGAATTTGAGACCGATTGAATCTGGCTACGAACCAAGTTAGCAACTTAAAGGCCCGTGGCTCTTTTTGGTCAAGATGTTCAGTCCCTCGTTAAAAGTCATTTTTTACCACTCCCTTATGTTGCATTGTCTTTGTGTAACTCCATCTCATGTTTTTAAGCATGTTTATACTCCGAAAAGGGACTCGAAACAGAACCAAACCTAAACATCAGGAGCTCTCTAGCCATTCCCAGCATCAGGACATTTATATGAAAAAAGCATCGAGGTCACATGTCAAGAGAGAAGTTTTCTAATCACAAGCCTGGGATCCCTAAGTCAACCTGGATTCTCTGTCTGCCTGTTATATTTGCCAGTACTAGACAGCCATAAACACTGACTCAAGCCCAGATAGCAACACTTACCAAAATAATATGGATTTTGAATGGGTTTTTTTCTCCCCCACCATACACATTTCCCTTCCAACCCTCTGAAAAAAAGAATTCTTTCCACCTGAAATTTGTTGTGTTCATAGTTTCTGATACTTCTTTAAAAGTACGGTTAGAGAGGCATGGCATTTTGAGATACCGATCAGGAATAAGTGTGTTTTCCTACATCTTGAAAATACCTTATTTTATTTTAGGCTAATGCCTAAATCAGATTACCTGATTAGGAAATCTCAGCTTTTTCTTGCATGCTATTAATGAGAATCACTGCATAGGAGGTGTGCCATCACTGAGACCAAGTGGAACAGTGCTGGACTGCTAAGGGTCAAATTCCAAATTCTTGGATGTACTTTATTTCTGGCACAAAGTCTGATGGCAATTAAGAGTAATATGCAGACCCTAAGCACTCTCCAAGTCCTATGAGACTTTAGCAATGGATTACAAGGATTTAAATACAGGCTAGGGGCTGACTGGCTGGGCAGCAACTCTGCAGAAAAGGACCTGGGGGTTACAGTGGACAATAAGCTGAATATATAAGCCAGCTTGTTATTGCCCTTGTTCCCAAGAAGGCTAACAGCACACTGGGCTGCATTGGTAGGTGTGTTGGCAGTAGGTCAAGTGAAGTGATTATTCCCCCCCCTTGTTCAGCACTAGTGAGGCCACATCTGGAGGACTGTGTCCAGTTTTGGACCCCCCAGTACAGCAAGGATGTGGAAAAGTTGGAAAGAGTCCAGCAGAGGGCAACAAAAATGGTGAAGGGGGTTGGGGCACATGACTTATGAGGACAGGATGAGGCTTATTTAGTCTAAAGAAGAGAAGACCGACATAGGATTTAATAGCAGCCTTCAACTACCTGAAGCAGGGTTCAAAAGAGGATGGAGCTGGACTGTTTTCAGTAGTGACAGATGACAAAGCAAGGAGCAATGGTGTCAAGTTGCAGAAAGAGAAGTTTAGGTTAGATATTAGGAAGAATGTTCTCACTAGGAGGGTAGTAAAACACTGCAACAGGTTACCCAGAGGTGGTGGACTCTCCATCCTTGGAGGTTTTCAAGACCCGGCCCGACAAAGCTTGGGCTACGATGATCTAGTTGGGGGTGATCCTGCTTTGAGCAGGGGGTTAGATGACCTTGAGAGGTCCCTTCCAACCCTAATTTTCTAAGTTTTCTATGAAAAGGCAAATAGTGTCTACATCTTGTGAAATAAATTATTATCTATTATCTCCCATACATTTCAAAGATGCAAACAGCAATGGCCCAGGGCAGTGCAAACCTCCACTACAAAAGGAGGACAAACCTTTCAATGTTCATGTATTATGTCTTTACCGTTCTTCCATCCCATAGCTCTGCTGCAGTCAGCTGTGGTTTTCAGCAGCAGTTTTTATTACTGTAAGATAGCACTTTGATTACACAGGAACTTGCTTGGCACAGCGTATTCCTAGCACAAGGAGTGGAAGCATTAGGGAAGGATTCTAATGGAGCCTGTGCCACAATCAACATTCACTAGGGCGTTTGTCCCTCACCCACTCCTGTGCCCTCTCATTCCTCTCTCACTGCGTTACGACTCTGATCCACCCTGCAAGATCCTTCTCCCAGGCTGTTTCTTCAGTTGTTTTTCAAGAGGCTTCTTGCTGCCCACATGTGTATCCTCCTCCTCTCTGCTGCTTTTTCTGTACAAGCAACAGATTGCAGTGCTGTTGTCCTTTTGATCTAATGAGAAAAACTCCCACAACAATGATGTGCATGTGTTTCTTTTCGTGTTGTTTGGCAATGGAGCCTGGAGGCATATGTCTCTCCCTGAATTGGGCTTCTCCTTTATGGCCCTATCCTTTAAGTGGTGCTGGCCCCTACCCTGGGGGTCTTTAAGAAGAGGCTGGATGCCTACCTGGCTGGACTCAAATGAGTCCCGTTTTTGTTTTGGGGTTTTTTTGTTCTCCCGCCCTGGCGGGGGGTCGGGCTAGATGATCTACTAGGTCCCTTCCGACCCCAAATCTATGAAACTATGAAGTCCGCATTATTTCCCTTTGTGCTTATTCTGCAGCCCCTCGGGTCCCTAGACAATACGTTCTTCCCTCCTTCCTGCTGGCAGGAGCTACTACTCTCTAAGGATAAAACCTCACACACAGAACTAGGGTACAATCTATCACCATCCTAGTACGCATACACCTCTGCACAGGCCTGCAGTAGTTTTTGCCATGTTTGCTCACTTGCTTGAACACAAAGGATGCTTTAAAGTCAGTAGCAAAACTCAGTTGACTTCAGTGGGTGTAGGGCTGGACCCAGGTAGTCTGCTGAAACATTGTCCATAAACTCTGGACCCTCTCTCTGACAACAGCTACTGCCAGTTTTTTTGAGCAGAAGGCATACCACCACCATAATGCACGTACTTCTATCAGGGATGCATTTTCTTCCAGATCATATTATGTCCTGAGAAAATGAGGACACACATTAAACCTGAGGCCTGTGGACAATTTAAGCATAGTGACAACAGAAAATTCCACTTCTACAGCCCCTTCTTTCTGAGGATCTGTGTTAATCCACACATGGATAATTTAGTTTCCCATCTCTCTTGTGAGATACAGACAGAAACTGTTAAGTGATGTGCCCAAGACACCACTATGTTGGTGGGAGAGTTGGAGACAGATCTTGCAGCTCCTAATCCTGTGCTAGCCTCCTTCCCCAAGTTGTCTTGGGGGATCAGGTATTCATCTAAGCAAGTGTCTTGGCTAGCTTCAGTGAAGGTACTACTATGATTCAGCACAAGAACAACTGGCACTTGACTCAGATGAGGCAAAATGTACATCTTACCAACAAAAGCTATCATGTTGGAAGGAAGATGAACAAAGGGCCATGCTACTCCTAACTCTTCATCTTCTTCCGGTAAGAGAAGACAAAACAAGGATGTTGAAAGGCTCTGTATCAATATGGAGAGATTATGGCTAACTCCTTAGGTGCAAGGGCTGACCAAGGTTAGCATCAGGACAGCAAAGCAAAGGCCGGAAGCATTGGTCTGGCTCAGTGGTAAGTGGCCCACCCTGCACAGCTAGCTGCACACATTCTGGTTCATGCTGCTTCTGCCCCAAATCCCCCAAATTGGGTAAAATGCCTCTGGCAACTGTCCATGTGCATCTGTTGGCAGTGGTTACAGAGGCATGGCTTCAGCCTTAACGCATGCAACATATTATGTCTACACAGGAACTCTCAGGAAAAAGCAGGCAAATTATAAGGGTGTGAAGTCAATGCAAATAACTTAAAGCACTTTATGGTGTGAAATGTTTTAGATGACTGTAACTTCACTCTCCAAAGATTAAGCTAACTTTTCTGAGTGCTTCCACAGAGACAAGCCTTTGCAGGTGCTATATTTATATGCATGCCCTAACCTTATGCACCATGTCCTTTCCCATCCTAAAAGGTCTCTGAATCTCTGAGCACACCTCTTGTTCTGAGTTACATTCACCACAAAGCAGGACTGCAAGTTTCCATTCAAAACCTACCACTATAAAGAGCCCCGACACCTACTAAACTTATTCTTCTGCAGTTCATTAAAGTGGAAAGAACATGAAATAGAATTCCTGGAGCCCAAGTCAAATAAAGGATTTTGTTTGTCCATCTATTTAATTTGCTTTATCTTGAAAGAAAGCATAGGCTATTCCTGCCATACAAGAACTGGGGGCAGAAGAGACGGCCTTAATAAATCTTTCAGTGTATTACCGGGAGGCCAGAGCCGCTGGCCTTGTTCATGTAGCTACCTTAAACTCTATCCAACCTGCTTATCCCCCAGCTGCAGGAACAACAGAGCACTTGAAAGGTAATATTTTAGCTATTAGTGAAGAAAGGAAAAAATGTGATCTTTGCCATAGCTTGGGAATAATTTTTCCAGAGCTACACAGAATAAGCCTGAGTGAACTCTGCTATTTTTGGCAAAAGCCCTCCTGCTTAGCTCACATCAATAATTTTAATGCTTTATTTGTGGTTTGGGTTGTAAGCAATGGTGAAAGCCTGGAAAGAAAAAAAAAAAGTGGCAAATTTGCTAAATAATCCAGAGTTCACGACTTGTATAAAAGTATACTAAAGTTCTCAGAAATCTTAGAGGCCATACACGCTCATAAAGCTGAGCTATGAAAGCGTTTTTATTTTACATATTCAAGCATCACTGAATAACTTTTTATGAGGTTTTAATAGGACCTTTAATGTTTCAGTGGTTACAATGACAAACTGTCAAAACCAGGTCTGTGATGCCTCAATGTTGTGCTATGCCTCAAATGTCTTACACTTGCACTGTTTGTTAACACAGAGCATTTTGACTTTTGCCTCAGAAGCATCCTGCTTGGTAGCTCTTCTTCATTTGTATTTACAATAGCTCCTAGGAACCTAAATCATAG